AATGAAACAACTTTTTTAAAAAAATTGAAAAGACGCATTCAATTCCGTTCCATCTGAAGAATTGTGTTACTTTACTTTTCTTGTATATACTGTATATACTTGCTTGTACTGATAAAGAATATACATATATAAAATTGATACTATAACCTAACTGTGATGTAATTATCTCATTATAATGTAATGTTTTAATTACATATGTTATGTTCTTTAAGGCACATGTGTATTCCTTACAGTACACATATCAGGAGAGAAAGAAAATTAAAGTTACAACAGCATAATAATTATTTATTAAAATAGCCATATTAAATTAGCAAGCACAATGGACATGGATCTAAAAAAACCTATAGACTAACAACAAAACCAAAATCAACAAAAGCACTTCATATCTAAGCATACCAGCTGAGTAGTCTGTTTGCTCTCAAAAATGCAAATATTTTCTGCAGTATTATGTTTGAGGCTGAGGTTCAATACATCAGTTATAAACATGAGGCTTTAATAAATGGCATAAATGGAACTCACTATAATCCATAAATGTATTTTCTCTTCCTCTTAGATATTAGCAGAAATTATCTAAATATCCTTGTGTTTTTTTATGTAGTTTACAAGGAACAAGATGTGTTATACGCTGTGAAGCAGGCAAATATTATAACGGCAGAGACTGTGAGCCATGCCATCATTCCTGTGCTTCTTGTGAAGGTACTTCTAATATTATTTTTGTTAACTAAATAATTTATGCCTTCCTTGCAACAAAATAGAATAAGTACTAAGCTTTGTAGAACACTAAGCAGAATACTATTATAAATATGAACCGCAGATTGTCATTAGGCCATACTTAGATAATACCCATTGATCACAGTGTGGACAGCTTCAATATGTACAGTATGGTAGCTTCTCCCTCTGGGATAATAGAACTATTGTCAACATTAATAATAGAAACCATTCTAAAACAAACCAATAGTAGTTCTAACAAATCAGTGAGACTATGAGGAGGGACTGGCAGTATAATTGGATGAGCTTGAATGTCTTTTTAACATTCTTGTTTACATGGAAGAATACCATTTCTCATCCCACCAAATTAGTAATCACACTACTAAATTGTTTAGTGAATATTCATTATCTATGCTTTATTGAGGATACAGCACTGTGTTATCATTTTTGTTTTGTTGGCTTTTGAGGCCCAGGAGCAGATGCTTGCATCAATTGCACAGAAGAGTATTTCATGGAGAATGGGAAATGTGTGGTAGCTTGTAGGAATGGCTACTATTTGGATCACTCATTAGAAAATGGACATAAAACTTGCAAAAGGTAAGTGGTCATTATAAACTATGTCTCATTTTAAATCAGATGCAAAAATTGACCCATTTTATATGTGAACTATATAAGAACCATAAAGATGACTCAGTGGTTAAGACATTTGGGCTTGTTGGCTGGAAAGCCAGTTGTCCAGGTTCGACACTTGAGCACCATGCATTAAGGTAAGCTCCTGTCCTTACCCCAGCTCTTGCCTACTGAGCAATTAGAATGTATGCAAATGTGAGTAGATAAATAGGTACCATTTTGCAGGGATGGTAACAGCACTCTGGCCACAATTGAAATGTCTTTGGACAGTGCTGACTAAATGGCCTTGAAACAGAGATGAGCACTGCCAATATAGTCACCAATGACTAGCAGAATAAAATCCAATGTGAGCCATAACTAAGAAACAAACTGCCCGGCTGAAAAGGAATTCTATTTTCTAAAAATAATTCCTATTACTAAACTTTTTAATTATCCAAACTTATCCCTAGCATTTGTAACTATCAAGGGACCCCTGCATGAATTTCCACTCAAGCTGTATTAATGAAGCTTCTGGGTATCCAGAATCCTTTGAAATATTTCTAGGACATATTTAAGCCAAATCCTTCCAAATCAAAGTTAAGATGCTGGCAGAGAGTTATGCACAATTTTGTGAGGTGTGAAAAAGTGATTATGTTCTGTGGTGAAATTGTACAATGACCTACAGCCTTACCATATATAATTAGTCATTCACAGGTGAGAATTCTTCCCCATCGATTTCATTTTTTTTTTCCCATCCAGAAACCATGGGTTTAGAGGCATCATGGAATTAGTTGTCTAGCTAAAAAGGGGGAAAATGAGACTAATATATGTAAATGTTTTCTAGTCCCAAAACAGACATATAAAAGGGAAATTGATTAACTGAAAATTCTGAGCAGCCAGATTATTTGGCATGGCCTCTAGATTATCGTTAACTATGTGGAAATGTTGGAGAAATATAGTTTTCTTTGTGTGTGATTAGCCTTCAAGATCTCAGAGGTGTAAAAGAAGGAACAAAGATAGGTTGGCTTATGTGATTTAAACGTTCCTGCTGTTATTTTCTGTGTTAGCGTCTACATTTTAGAATCTTGTAGTAATTCAAACATGAATCAAATTAAGCAGTATTTGATTACAAGAGAGATGATCGATCTTGATCCTATGTATAACTTGCTGTTGTTGTTTTTCCATTCAGATGTGATGTCAGCTGCTTTGGGTGCAGTGGTCCAGGAGAAAGAAACTGTACAAGTTGTCCAAATGGCTACATCTTAGATACAGGTCTTTGTGTAGTTGGTCTTGTCTGTAAAGATGGTGAGTGCATTTCTCCAACTAAATTTCTGATTTTTCTTCTGTTTAATATTGTTTAGACTTTAAAAAATAACCTCCAGAAAGTTGAACTCCTTTATTGTTTTTATTCCCAATAGGAAAAGCCAGCTTAGTATTCTCATCATTTATCATAAAAGAGTAGTCTATTTTCATATATTTGCTTAAAAGCTTCTGGGAATAAATTGAATGTACAAACAGTATTAAAAGATCTAAGACTGCATGAATGAAAAAATAAAATATTTTTTTAAAAAAAACTGCAGAAAGAGGCCCTGAACAAAGATAGAATAAATCAGCTGTTGAAATTGTCCCCCAAATGTGAAATACTGGAAATTTTAATTTTGCAAATTCAAAATATAAAAGAATTGTTATTTATTATGGGAGTTGCACTTTTGCTATAGTGTGTGAGTATATGTATCAACTCCTTGGAAGAAAAATTAGTATCCTCAACCAGAAACAATTGGGTTCTTTTCAAGACTTCACAGTTATAGCTGAATACTCATTCTCAAAGGTCAGCTACCTTAATCCTGGTGTCCTCCTGATGTATTAGAAGGACTTGGATGTATGAGTAGCTAATATTTGGAGACCCCAACCAGGGATGGGTTGCTGTTGGCATTGTTGGTTCCTTTGTGCATGCGTGCCAGAACATGAAAAAAAAATACTAAAAAAAAAAGCTGGCATTGGTAGTAGTGACTAGGAACTGGTTCAGGGGCGTGGCCAGCTGGGGTCGCTGCTGATTCTGCGACCAAGGTCAAAATGCCACTACCGGTTCACCCGAACTGGTGTGAATTGGTAGCAACCCACCTCTGGCTCCAACTAGACTAATTATGTGGTCAGATGTGACCAATGTGCTTCTATGTACTGGAATACATAGAAGAAAACAGAAGCAGGTTTGGGAATGAATATTAGGATTTTTCTACAGGGATAGGTAGATGTAACCAACCATGTATTTAACAAGGGAAAATCCCTATTTCTATTCCTAGAAAATGATCACCATAAGTATCTATGCATAAGTTGTATTTTTAAAAAAATTATTATCATTTTTCTTTGAAGAAATTTGAAGAAATTGTATTGTCTATCAATCTGAAAATAGAACAGAATGTGGCCAAATTTGGATTTGGGGGAGAAGTTGACTAAATAAATAAATAAATATTTGTAAATGTGCCAGATCTAACCAATGGAAAAATCCAAAAAAAAAATTCTATCAACTTAAATTTCTTGACTTTTCTCTTCTGGTCAGATGATTAAAGCAAAATTGTTGTTAAGAAAATGGGGGAAAGTCATGCTCTCTACTTTTTCTTTATCTTGTAAAGATATGCTGAGATAGTGGAACAAGCAATAACTTCTAGTTGGTTTCATTAGTATCCAGAGTGAGTCAGCTGTAATAAAGATACACAGTGGTGTAGCAAACCATAGTGCATCTTGTTAAACCCTTTTGTTGAATGAATTCATACAGGCTAATCAGCAAACACTGCAAGTTTACTAAAAGAGTCTTAATTTTGCATTGTTCAAAAGTCAGCAAGAACCTTGGGGTTCTAGGTTTAATCTAGTAGATTAAAGAAGCACGCTACTTTCAGCTTAAACGGTACAACATCTCAGCTTGTTTTAATGATGTGTAAAGTTTACATTGCTCCTTTCATTTCAAATGTTTTTATTTCTCATCTGTAATTACAATTGATGCTACACTCAGTTTTTCATATTACCTACTACTGTATGCTACTAGCTTTTCTTCTTGTTCCTTTCATTGAATGGTTTTTGACAACTTATCAATGGAGTGTGTGATCTGTTTTTTTTTAACCTCTGTTCCTGTTCTGATTATTTTATATCCTGTCCAGGTGTTCCGTTCATGATTTGTATCCAACCACAATTTCCTCCAAACTGAAATACTCCATTCTAAGATGTCTAACTCACATCCTGGCTATTGCTTCTCTTGACATTCTCAGAATAATTTTAAACTACATTTGGGGGCGAAGTGAAGAAATTCCTGATACTTAAGGGACCTATGACTTGGAAATCAAATTATTTAAGCCACAGTAAACTCTCAATTAAGGGACTCAGTGGCTCAGTGGCTAAATGATGAGCTTGTCGATTAGAAAGGTTGGCAACTCAGCGGTTCAAATCCCTAGCGCCACGTAATGGAGTGAACTCCTGTTACTTGTCCCAACTTCTGCCAACCTAGCAGTTCAAAAGCATATAAAAATGCAAGTAGAAAAATAGGAACCACCTTAGGTGGGAAGGTAACAGCATTCCATGTGCCTTTGGCATTTAGTCATGCCGGCCACATGACCACGGAGGTGTCTTTGGACAGCACTGACTCTTCGGCTTTGAAACAGAGATGAGTAGCGCTCCCTAGAGTCAGGAACGACTACCACATATGTACGAGGGAAACCTTTATATTTACCTTTAAACCTTCAATTAAAACCCTTTAGGAGATCTTAAAGGCAACAGACAAAATTTGTCCATAAACTTTAAATTTCTGTACATGGATAAAATGCCTTCTGCCACTTATTAAACTATAATATGCATAAAATAAATGAATTTATGCTTGCATAAAGGACATTTGAATTTAATGGATATCTGCTTTCATGACAACCCCATTTTCCACTAAATCAAGAGTTTAATGTGCAACTGCAAGATTTTTTATGATCACAGTAATATATGGAGAACTCTGAATTTACAGAGAACATACAAAGGCATGTCATTTTATACATGCTTTTAAAGGAAAACTATGAAATAATGAGATGGAAAAAATTAAAATCCTCCTTGAAACTAATATGTGCATGAAAAATATTTCTCACTGGAGGTTTGTTTTCCTAAATTCATTGTTAGTGGCAAATGCTGTAAAACTCATTGAATTAATGTCCACATAACATTAGGCCTCTGCTTGTGATCCCTTTTGGTTTAAGTAGCATTCAAAGTGTTGCAAGATTCTTAACAACATAATGATTTCAATATCAATGACAATATATGCAAGTGCTATCAAGAACATCTTATGTTCAATGAGTTTTACAGCATTTGCCACCAACAATGAATTTAAGAAAACAAAACTCCAGTGAGAAATATTTTTCATGCACATATTAGCTTCGAGGATGATTTCATTTTTTTCCATCTCATTATTTCATAGTTCTCCTTTAAAAGCATGTATAAAATAACATGCTTTTGTACACAGTAAAATTGCTAAACCAACCAAATATTGCAATATGCCTTTAACTGACTGACTGGAAAAAGTGCTTAGCAGCTTGGATTGTGATAAACGGGACACTGGCAGATTTATCTGAATGTGGGATTGAATTTAAAATCAGATTGAAAACTCATGTTCTTCACAAAGACAGGATGATATTCAATTTGCCCTTTGAATCCTCCTGACTGCAGCCTTCAATTGCTCTATCGTAGGGGGTGGGGTGGGGTGGAATTGGTCAGAAGGAGCTGCTAGGTAGAGAAAATCTATTTCCACTGGCAAATGCTCTTCCATTGGCAGCTGCTTATCTCTGAATTTTCCCCAAAGTGGATGATCAAAGAATACAGTCCACCCAATTTATTTATAGCTTTTTCTCTTAAATTGTAGGAAAATTATGCATTAGGCTCTGAATCAGACTAAGATTTTTCTCCATAAAGTAACAAGTGAATGAGCTTTTAAAAAATGATTGTGATGCACATTATAATAAATCATGCTTTGCAATTGCACAGTGAGCAAAGGAATCTTCACCGTAACAATTTTGGGGAGTACACCAAAAAAAAATCAGAATATTCTATTAAATTCTATATGATTTAAAATTATGTGTACATTCTTGTGTGTTTCTGTTTAGTACTCTTTTTTTAAATTCATAATACTCAATAAGATATCTCTGTGCATTTTTCACTGTTTTCTAATATTTCTTTTTCTGATCTTTTTTTCTTCTTCTTATATAAATGGATACAAATCACTCCCTGCTACAACACAATGTATTTTCCTGAAAACAAATGCTGTTGTGACTGAAATTCCTTTTGATGGAAACCCAATTTCCTATTTGCTACCTGCTCCTGAATGATCTCTTCTATCAAATTTGCCTGTCTGACCAATTAAATCTCCCTCTACTTGACACCATGCTGTTCAAACCTCAACCTCCTTCCACTCTCTATGACCTCCTGAAGCAACGGAAGAGTCTTGGGCAGAAGGCGGCTTCTGTATGCTAGTGAAAAAGAATAATCTTTGCCAGCGGAAAGTACTTCAGCAACTTTGCTGCAGAACATGTACACTAAAAGGTTGATTTGGCTCCTCTCCAGGCATTCTTGTTCCGGTAGACTTATAGATTAATCCATATTATTAAAAATGGGGAAACCCCCCTAAAACCACCTTTTTTCCTCCTCTTTCTCTTTCTCCCCTTTGGGGAGGCAGTGAACTGTATATTGGAACTTAAAATATAAAACTACAACGAGCCTACCTTTCATTACTGGGTGTTCAGAAAAAAAAACATCTGGGATCACAGTGTCAGTAGGGTGTGACCAAAGCATTTGATGCCAAATTAAAGTCATTTGACTTCCTGTCAATTTAAGGACATGCCTGGATATATTTTTTTTTACAAAAATCTGCTTTTCTTTTTTTTTTCTGCTTGTTTCCCTTGAAGATGTGTAGAGTGCGCCAACAATACAGCACAAGTTTACAATGGATTAAAACAAAACAAAAAACATACTCGCATTAGTCTTTTCTTTTTTGTCCTCATGTAATAAGAACGAGAAGAACTCTGAAAAGAAATAACATTTTTCTTGTTGGAAGCTCATGCTCTGTGTGCATTATGGTGGTGTCTGCATTATTTTTTAGTGTGATTGTATGTTGGGTAGCATTTGCTTGGATTCATTTTATCACGTTGCTAAATTCTCCAAAAGCTTTTCAGAATTCTGGCCAGATCAAACATATGTTTTTTAAAGATAAATTTCAATGTTTTAGGCTTCATTCTGATATGAATAAACTCTGAAAGATGCAAGAACCCCTCCCTTTTTAAGTGTAGCTT